AGGGTGTTAAATGCATAAATATGAAAATATATTCTTAGGAAACCAGAATAATTATTGGATAGCGCTTTTTTTAAATTTAGGTGTAATGTGAAAACCCTAAAAAAAATGTTATAAATATAGGTTTCTTTGACATATAATTAATGAGTAGGTTTAGAATCGAAAAATAATAGAAAATTTGTAAGGCACATACTGCTATCGTTATTGATAAAAATCTCTTCATTTTTGGTTTATAGCTGTATTTTATTAGGTGTTAAGCATTATCCTAAAAAATATTTGAAAATATTATGATTTGACCGAATGCTGAGCTCAAAACCGACCACTTACTAAATATTCGATCGACCAAATTTGGTAATAACATTAATTGGGAAATGTTCATTTTTGGTTTAGATATCTATAAATACGTGTAAAACATTATCCCCAAAAATATTTTAAAAATATCGTGATTTGACCGATAACCGATGTGAAACCGAAATACTGCATTGCTAGCTTTATCCATGGAAAATTTTTAATTTTTGGTTTATACGTGTACATTAACGTTTTAAGCATTATCCTAAAAAAAATTTTGAAAATATTATGATTTGACCGAATGCCGAGCAGAAAACCGACCACTTACTAAATATTCGATTGACCAACTTTGGTAGTAATAATCATTAGAAAGAGTTCATTTTTGGTTTATTTCATTATCCCTAATCATATTCTAAAAATATCGTGATTTGACCGATAACCGATTTGAAACCGGGCCAATAACTAAATACTGCATTGATGGCGTTATCCATGGAAAATTCTTTATTTTTGGTTTATATCGTGTTAAGCATTATTCTAAAAAATTTTTTGAAAATATTATGATTTGACCGAATGCCGAGCTCAAAACCAACCACTTACTAAATATTCGATCGACCAAATTTGGTAGAAATAATAACTGGAAAGAGCTGATTTTTGGTTTATTTAACTAATACGTGTAAAACATTATCCCAAAAAATATTTTAAAAATATCATGATTTGACCGATAACCGATTTGAAACCGAAATACTGCATTGCTGGCGTTATCCATTGGAAATTCTTCATTTTTGGTTAATACGTGTTAACGTGTTAAGCATTATCCCAAAAAATATTTTGAAAATATTGTGATTTGACCGAATTCCAAGCTCAAAACCGACCACTTATTAAATATTTGATCAACCAAATTTGGTAGTAATATTAATTGTAAAATGTTCATTTTTGGTTTATATATCATAAATACGTGTAAAACATTATCCCAGAAAAATGAACTCTTTCCAATGATTATTACTACCAAATTTGGTCAATCGAATATTTATTAAGTGGTCGGTTTTGTGCTCGGCATTCGGCCAAATCATAATATTTTCAAAATTTTTTTAAGATAATGCTTAATACGTTAATGTACACGTATAACCAAAAATTAAAAATTTTCCATGGATAACCAGCAATGCAGTATTTCGGTTTCAAATCGGTTATCGGCCAAATCACGATATTTTTAAAATATTTTTTAGGTATATAAACCAGAAATGAACCTTTTCCATTTAATGTTACTACCAAATTTGGTCGATCGAATATTTAGTAAGTGGTCGGTTTTGAGCTCGGCATTCGGATCATATATTTTCAAAATTTATTTTAGGATAATGCTTACCACGTTCTTGTACACCTATAAACCAAAAATGAAGAATTATCCATGGATAACTCCAGCAATGCAATATTTATTCATTGGCCCGGTTTCAAATCGGTTATCTATCAAATCACGATATTTTTGAAATATTTTTTGGGATAATGATTTACACGTATTTATAGATAAATAAACCAAAAATGAACTCTTTCCAGTTAATATTACTACCAAGGTCAATCGAATATTTAGTAAGTGGTCGGTTTTGAGCTCGGCATTTGGTCAAATCATAATATTTTCAAAATATTTTATAGGATAACGCTTAACACCTAAATATACATATATAAACCAAAAATAAAGAGATTTTGATCAATAACGCCAGCAGTATGTGCTTTACAAATTTTCTATTATTTTTCGATTCTAAACCTACTCATTAATTAAATGTCATAAAAACCTATATTTTTAACATTTTTTTTTAGGTTTTTCACATGTATTTACACTCAAATATAAAAAAAGCGGTATCCAATAATTATTCTGGCTTCCTAAGAATATATTTCCATATTTAAACATTTAACACCCTCTTATAGATGGTTACATGTCAATACCGCGAAAATTTTAGCGCGAAATGTATTATCGCAAAGGTATCGGTCCGATCCGTTTGTCTGTCTTTTGTCTTATACCATTTCGCTTCAATATTTGGAAAAATTTCCTAGAAAATTTACATAAAGTCTTTACTTCAATACTGTAATTGTGGTAATCATAAATAATGATACCAACTTCATACCGAAAGTCTAAAATTATAAATGTAAAATTTATTATATTTGTACTTCTCCAACCTGCCATGGTAGAGGTTTTACATTAAATAATGTATTTACTATGACAGCAGAATGCAATGGTAATTATTTAATATGCAAGATTTTAATATACAAGATGCAATTTATTATTTTCTAGATATTTGCAAGTATTTGACTGCAAGAAGAGGAAGTATTTTTCAAAATAATATGAAAATCAAAATTTTTAAATATATTTTTCCTTAAGTATCATTGGGAAGAAATGAAGAGATTGTGACTTCTTTAATTAATCATGAACAAGAAGATGGAGGTGCTGTGGGGATTTCTGAGATCCTGGAAGAAGGTCAGGAGTCGATATCCTCGATGATTAATCCTATTTGAGAAGCTGCTGAAAGTGTTTTTGGTTAATCAAAATTTTGTTAATATATAGTTAATCAAAATTTTGTTAATATATTTCTTTTTAATTTTATTATAGTTAAGCAAAATTTTGTTAATATATTTCTTTTTAATTTTATCATAGTTAATCAAAATTTTGTTAATATATTTTCTTTTTAATTTTATCATAGTTAATCAAAATTTTGTTAATCTTTTTAATTTTATTATAGTTAATCAAAATTTTGTTAATATATTTCTTTTAAATTTTATTATAGTTAATCAAAATTTTGTTAATATATTACTTTTTAATTTTATTATAGTTAATCAAAATTTTGTTAATATATTTTCTTTTTAATTTTATTATAGTTAATCAAAATTTTGTTAATATATTTCTTTTTAATTTTATTATAGTTAATCAAAATTTTGCTAATATTTTCTTTTTAATTTTATCATAGTTAATCAAAATTTTGTTAATATATTTTCTTTTAAATTTTATTATAGTTAATCAAAATTTTGTTAATATATTACTTTTTAATTTTATTATAGTTAATCAAAATTTTGTTAATATATTTTCTTTTTAATTTTATCATAGTTAATCAAAATTTTGTTAATATATTTCTTTTTAATTTTATTATAGTTAATCAAAAAATTTTTAATATTTTCTTTTTAATTTTATCATAGTTAATCAAAATTTTGTTAATATATTTTCTTTTTAATTTTATCATAATTAATCAAAATTTTGTTAATATATCTTTTTAATTTTATTAAAGCTAATCAAAATTTTTTAATATATTTTTCCTTAAGAATCGATGGGAAGAAATGAAGAGATTGTGACTTCTGTGATTAATCATGAACAAGAAGATGGAGGTGCTGTGAGGATTTCTGGAATCCTGGAGGTCAGGAGTCGATATCCTCGATGATCAATACTATTAGAGAAGCTGCTAAAAGTGTTTTTGGTTAATCAAAATTTTGTTAAAATATTTTCTTTTAAATTTTATTATAGTTAATCAAAATTTTGTTAATATATTTCTTTTTAATTTTATAGTTAATCAAAATATTGTGTTAATATTTTCTTTTTAATTTTATCATAGTTAATCAAAATTTTTTTAATATATTTTATTTTGCTAATATATTTTATTTTTAATTTTATTATAGTTAATCAAAATTTTGTTAATATATTTCTTTTTAATTTTATTATAGTTAATCAAAATTTTGTTAATATATTTTCTTTTTAATTTTATCATAGTTAATCAAAATTTTGTTAATATATTATCTTTTTAATTTTATTATAATTAATCTGAATTTTGTTAATATATTTCTTTTTAATTTATTATAGTTAATCAAAATTTTGTTATAATTTTCTTTTTAATTTTATCATAGTTAATCAAAATTTTGTCAATATTTTCTTTTTAATTTTATCATAGTTAATCAAAATTTTGTTAATATATTTTCTTTTTAATTTTATCATAGTTAATCAAAATTTTGTTAAAATATTTTCTTTTTAATTTTATTATAGTTAATCAAATTTTTTAAATATATTTTTCCTTAAGAATCGATGGGAAGAAATGAAGAGATTGTGACTTCTGTGATTAATCATGAACAAGATGGAGAGGATGATCTCCATGTTTTACAATTTTTGGACGAAAGTTTTATAGATGAAGAAGTTGTAATCAATATATCCATGGCAGCTGATAGCTCTGTAACTTTACCAATATCAGTTAATAACATTGGTATCGTGCCCTATGATTTTTTGTGTTTTGATGTTTTGTCGCGTGACTTTTTGTTAAATTTTGCTTAAGCTTAAAATTTGTATGATCTATATAACAAGCTGATTGCTCAATATATACTTAATATATAAATATTACCTTATGATTCCTTCACATTTTAGAAAATATGATAGTTATAATATTACTATGTATTACTAATGCACCAGGCCATCATGTGTGGGTAAAGGGATATTTAAAAACAATATCTTTTATATATCCAAACAATGCACTGGTATATTTTTTGTTAATCTTATATAAAATTATCATATTATAGCTTATGCCTGCTTAGAAAGTTTATCTAAAATATTTTCTCCAGCATCATTTTAGACCATAACTAACCCAGGTAAATTATAGAATATATTACTAATATGCTATCTTGTTAACCTGGAAATTTTCTTCTTAGCATCAATTGATATAATCCATTCAGGAACTCTAACTAATCAAGGTTAATTTAAAATATGCTATCTTGTTAACCTGGAAATCTTAATCTTAGCATCACTTGATATAATCCATTCAGGAACTCCAACCAACCAAAGTAAATTTAAAATATGCTATCTTGGTAACCTGGAAATTTAAATCTTAGCATCACTTGATATAATCCATTCAGGAACTCCAACTAATCAAGGTAAATTTATAATATGTTATCTTGTTAACCTGGAAATTTTAATCTTAGCATCACTTGATATGATCCATTCAGGAACTCCAACCAACCAAAGTAAATTTAAAATATGCTATCTTGTTAACCTGGAAATTTTAATCTTAGCATCACTTGATATAATCCATTCAGGAACTCAAAGAAAATTTAAAATATGCTATCTTGTTAACCTGGAAATTTTATTCTTAGCATCATTTATAATCTATTCAGGAACTCCAACCAATCAAGGTAAATTTAAAATATGCTATTAGTTTTATCTGGAAATTATCTTTTATATCCATTGAAGATTATTCAATAAATCAATTAATTTTTTTAAAGCAAAATGCTCAATATAAATTTAAATAATCTAAATTTAATAAAAATCTACTATTTTCTAATAATTATTTATATTCTCAAAATAGAGAAAACTATTATATGCATACATAGATATTTATTAATTATTAGGTTTTTACCTAAAAATTCACATCACTCTTTATCAATATTATGATCATGCTGTCAAAATTTTCATTTTTTAATGCTTTTTATAAAAAATTTACACCATTTTATATAATATTGATATGCAAAAAGTAATTACCATAATTTTATATATTACTATTAAAATACAAATTGCAATCATTATTTTATATATCACCTATTGATATACAAATTGTAATCATCATTTTATATACAATTAATATTCAATTGCAATATATACAAATTTTTATACACCACCATCAATATACAGTCTTGATAAATATAATTTTATAATTGATATGCAAATTGCAATCTTTATTTTATATATCTTCATCAATATATTCAATAAATATAAATTTATATACTATTGAATATTGATATATAAATTGCAATTATTATTTTATATAGCATTATTATACAATTGCAATCATTATTTTATATTTATCAATTATAATATTTATATATATACTATTGATATAATTGCAAAAGTAATAATAAAATTGTTGTTAGGCTTATATTTCATTATTCTTACAACATGCATGCTTATTCATTATATCATATAAGTAATGTTGTTAAACGGCTCGATTTGAGCCGATTAAAAACGGCTAACTCAATATTTTATCCGAAAAAATATTAGGCAAGCCAGCAGACCTTGCTCAGAGATGGCATAAAGGTTTGGCATATATTAGCTAAATCTCGAGGCTTAGTCAATATTTTGCTAGCGAAAATTTGAGTTAGCCGTTTTTAAAAACTCGACTCAAATCGAGCCTTTTAACAATATTTTTAAGTAATATCTTAATAATCAGATATTTATATGAATAAATACGTATGATAAATAGATTTCTTAGTAAGATAAATGACTAGAAACCTCTAACAAAATAAATCTCATGTTTATAGGAATAACTAGTATAAATCCCTATGATAAAAATTTTATTAATGAGTTCCTAGTAGGAAAAGAGATTAACATATTCCCATTAATCATTAGAAATCTAAAAAAAAATTAAAATATGAATAAATCTGATATTTATAGGAATAATAAGTATAAATCTCTACTATAAAAATTTTATTAATGGAGTTCCTAGTAGGAAAAGAGATTAACATATTCCCATTAATCATTAGAAATCTGAAAAAAATTAAAATATGAGTAAATCTGATATTTATAGGAATAATATAAATCCTTATGATAAAAATTTTATTAATGGAGTTCCTAGTAGGAAAAGAGATTAACATATTCCCATTAATAATTAGAAATCTAAAAAAAGTTAAAATATGAGTAAAACTGATATTTATAGGAATAATAAGTATAGATCTCTACGATAAAAATTTTATTAATGGAGTTCCTAGTAGGAAATTAACATATCATTAGAAATGTAAAAAAAAATTAAAATATGATTTTTATTCATTTTTTTACGATAGATGTCATGCTAGATCCCTCACAATATTAGGAAGCATATAATTATAAAAGTTTATCCAGCCCAGCTCAACCCTTAATAATTTGTTTTAAAGATATTTCCGTGTCAGGTAATTTTTAATTGATTTATCATCACATGAAGGAGATGTAAAAAAAAACATGTGAATTCCGCAGCGTCTACATGGCAGAAAATTTGATGGAGGCAAACCCCTCCAAAATCTACCCATACCCACCTAAAAAAATCCTGCGGCCTTCGGCCGCGAAATTTACAGACCTACGATGGTATAGTGATTTTATTTAAAAAATCTTATCTGTCACGATTTATAACCTTACAACATAATTCTATTTACAATCTTTCAAGCCTATTTAGGGAAAAAAAATTTAAAAATTTGTAAGTGATAATGAACTTTTATTTAAATAATGCAATCTTTTCATAATTTGGTATTCACTTTATTTTCATAAAATATATATAAGGGAATTAAATGAGATAACATATTAATATTTCTATGAAAAAGATCTAAAATATTGTAAAAAATATAAGACGAATAAATTTAAAGAGGTATATTTAGCTTGATTCCACATAATTAAAAACATGTATTGTAAATAGAGCTATTATATAAAATATTAGAATAAAATGAATTATAGTATATTTTGCATTGAAATTATAAAATGTTAAATTAAATATACATTATTTAAAAGCCTATATTCTCTGTGAAAAAGATACATTAATTATTTTATTAATAATTTGGATAACCTTATTGATGTTAAAGCAAATTGTGTTATAATATCATCAATTGTAAATTTTTTAAAAACATCAATTCCGCTGGATATTAACAGTAAATTTTCCAAAAATGGGTCCGAAATTTTATTCCGCATTCGAGTTTTGTTAATTTTTACTTTACTCATGGCTCTTTCGGCTGAACAGGAAGTTGTAGGAAGGGTTAATAAATATTTATATAATAAATTTAAATTTGAATAAGAATTTAATTGATTTAAAGGTCGGTATGGTAATATAAAAGAAAATTTTATCCATTTTTTTATTTTGGTCATGATTTCGCTGTTGATATTTTCTTTGGTAATTTGATCGTTTGCAATACCTTTAATTATATACAATTACACATAAAATATCAATAAATTACTTTCATCAATATATAACGCGTCATTCTTTTTAACTTTTAAAAGATCTTCGCAAAAAATGATTGATTGAGACTCCAAATATAAAGAGCGAAAATCATTATATTCATCAACAATGTTTTGGACATCCAATTGATAAGTATTACAAATTTCGGATATTTGCCATCCTTCTATTTTTTCATTATCCATAATTCCAGCGGGAGTAAAAATGGATATCTGTGATAAAAAATTTAAACAATCCTAATTAAATCGATCATTTAGGTGATTAATTATTGCATTTAGAACAGGGAAAAATATTTCCGTTCTATATCTATAATAATAAATAATAATTTAAATTTTTTTAATTTATTCAACTTGTTTTTTTTTTGTTCAACATAATTATTGAATTCTGTTTGATCCAATTTGAATATTGATTTCATATTATACAAATCAGTTATTACATTATTCTTTTTCAAAAAACTATTAGATAAGGAATGTAATTTTAAAAATATATTGTCTCCATTAGCTATATTTTAAAATTATTATAGAAATAGTAACTATTAACCTTTTAGTTTTGTAATTTATTTTTTGTATGTTGTATTAATTTGGTTACCAAAGCCAAATCATTACCAACTGCCTGCATTTCAATACAAGCCTCATGTGTACATTTCAATATTTCTTTCAAAATAAAAAGACTTAATATAAAATTTTCATCTTTAATTCTTGATAATAACCCATCGGCAATGGAAGAGGTTCGGTCATTAGAATCTTTTAATTCAACTAATGATGCTAAAATATGTTCATAAACATCTAAAAAGATTTCTACAGATTTGTAGGATGATGACCAATTTCTAAGTTTCAAGTTTCATTAAAAATATTTTATTTAACTTGTTGTGTTTTTAATTCTTTTAAGAGATTTCTTGGACTTTCTCATTTGATATTTAACAAACACACCTTGACGTCTAACTCCATTCATAAAATTATATAACTCATCTAATATTCCCATTGCCTTTTTCATTTAAATTTTGCATCCACAAACATGAGCAACTACTAAATTTAGCCGATGTGCATGGCACCAAATATAAATGGCTTTTGGAGCCTCTTTCAATATTAAAGCCTGCATTCCTTTGTATACTCCTCTCATATTCCCTGCACCATCCATACTTTGTCCAACCAAATAATCAAGAGGAAGACCAAGATCATTAAACTTAGAAAAAACATGTTTCTTTATATTTTCCCCAGTGGTTTCTGATGTTGTAAAAACATGTATGATCCTTTCTACAGGATGTGGATGCAGATCATCTTCTATATACCGTACAAGCAAAGCTATGCATTCTTTTTTAGATCATATGTTCCATCTAATATGATGCTATAGGCACGATTCTCTTTAATTGTTTGAATAATGCTTTTTGTTATTTTTATCTTAATAATTTCAGTTATTTTTTTCACGTGGCCATATGACAGTAAATTTATATAAGGTCTCGAAATTTTATCTGATTTTTTTCTCCGCAATTTTTCGTTGTTATCCATGTATGCACGTAAAGTTGGAACCGTTTTTGCCATTAATTTTATAAGACACATAAAATTACCTTCATTCGAATTAGAACCCCAAAAGGCTATATTACATTTTATAAGGTACATAATGGCATTGATAATATTATGAACTATATTACGATTTTCCATGATTATATCAAGCTTATTTGATAGCAAATGATCTTGAATGCGTTTATTTGCAAGCCAAGTCATGTTTGCATATTCACAATCTTTATGAAGAGAAGATGCTTCGTGTCTCTCTAAGTCACGCTTTATGTTTTTCCAATTATTTACCCGATGTTGAGTCCAAAAAGTATTGGACTTAGGGCCACCAAACATAATACAATATAGACAAAAGACTTTGTCTAAAGTAGTGCTATAAGATAGCCAATTTCTGGGGTTGAGGGAACCATCTATATTAACCTTTCTATAATAGGTTATATTCATGCTCCTGTTTAAAAAGTAAAAAAAAATATATTGGTATAGAAATAATGGATGGGTAAAAATTAATGAAAATAAATATTATTTAAAACCTCTTGTTAGTAACAGGATATTGAAATTTATTTGTACATGGCTGACAAGGGCCTACAGCAATTATGAAATTTATCAAAATATTTGTCATCCTAAATAATATAAAGTGAAAAGGGTCATTTGGTTCCTTTTTTTTGTATAGCAGAATAAGACTTGGACTTTGAATATCCTCATAAT